GGAATGCATCTTGTCGGGCATCATGTCTGTGAACGGGAAGAAAGTGCTACACATGGACCGGAACCCCTACTATGGGGGTGAGAGTTCTTCCATCACACCCCTGGAGGAGGTGAGGCCGCCTGGGCCCAGGCCCATCTCATAGGGGAGGGGGTCGAAGTGGCTCCCCAGGCTTTCTGGGCAGGAGAGTGGGAAAGGGAGTGCTAGATCTTGAGGCCTCTTTTTTTCTCCCTACTGCTTACAGCTCTATAAGCGTTTTCAGTTACTGGAGGGGCCCCCTGAGTCGATGGGCCGGGGCCGAGACTGGAATGTTGACCTGATCCCCAAATTCCTCATGGCCAATGGTGAGGGAGATGAAGGAGGTATTGTGGGGAAGGGTGATTGGGCAGACCAGAGGAGGGCCAGGCTCCAGAGAAGGGCAGCAGGCCAGCTAGAGCTTTGGGGGCTGTGCTGATGCTTCCCCCCTCCACAGGGCAGCTGGTGAAGATGCTGCTGTACACAGAAGTGACTCGTTACCTGGATTTCAAGGTGGTAGAAGGCAGCTTTGTCTACAAAGGGGGCAAGATCTACAAGGTGCCGTCCACCGAGACTGAGGCCTTGGCTTCCAGTGAGTGTGGGGCCTCTGAGCTAGAAAATAGAGGGGTGGGGGATGGCAAACTATTCTCAGGATGGGTGGCAAGGGAGCCATCTAGAGCAGGGTGGCCCCTGGGCCAAGTCACATTCTCCACATAGTACCAGAGGCCCCTTGCTCTGTGTCTCCACACTGCCCAGTGCTTTGTCTCCAGGCTGGTTGCCAGGATGGAAATCCACATACAGAGTGGGTGGGGAGGAGGACTCCTTTTGGAAAGACCTTGACTTTTGGTAAGGGCTCTACTAGACCCCAAAATATCCTCACATGTTGGAGCCAGGTGGGCCCTCAGAGCCTGCCTGGCCCAGCCCCCTCTTGGTATATATAGGTAGGGAAATGAGGCAAGAAGGGTAAAGGACTTAGCTGATCTGAGGCCCTGGGACAGGGCTTAGCTGGCGCTAGGGCACCTGCTTTCTTGGTCTGTCCTGGCAGGAAGATGAATTGGTCCCAGTGGTGTTTAGGGTCTCCTAACCCTGCCTTCCTCAGATCTCATGGGTATGTTTGAGAAACGGCGCTTCCGTAAGTTCCTGGTGTTTGTGGCAAACTTCGATGAGAATGATCCCAAGACCTTCGAGGGTGTCGACCCCCAGACTACCAGCATGCGTGATGTCTACCGGAAGTTTGACCTGGGCCAGGATGTCATAGATTTCACTGGCCACGCCCTGGCACTCTACCGCACTGACGAGTGAGGGAGGAAAAGCCGGCATGGTGGCAGCTCCCTTGCCCTGCTGCACCCAACCCCCTTCCCCTCCAATCCCTGCATCGCTCATGCTCAGCCACAGGCTCACCTGTCGCCTTTTCCATCCTTCCCCTGCATTTGATCCCCTCTTCCCCAGGCCATCCAGCGGGCTGGGGAGGTTACCCTGGTGCCTGTGTGGGGGTGAGGTGGGGGTGGTGCTGTTGGAACATCTTCTCTGACCTCTGTCCCCCCAGCTATCTGGACCAGCCTTGTCTTGAGACCATCAACCGCATCAAGTTATACAGCGAGTCCCTGGCTCGATATGGCAAGAGCCCGTATTTATACCCACTCTATGGCCTGGGTGAGCTGCCCCAGGGTTTCGCAAGGTGAGGGCATGGCTTTTCCCAGTGGACATTACTGAGTCAGACCATAGGCCAACAATGAGTGTGTAGCATTTGCTACTCTTGAATCGCGATTGTTACTCACTTTGCTTCATCCTTGAGTGAGGGTTGCAGCCCCAATGCATTGAAGTGCAAACTTGAAGAACCAGGTCTCTGTAAGTGGGTGGCTCAGCTTTTAGCAGCACTAGGACTGGGCGACAGGTGCTGGAACCTTGAGTCAAAGCTGAGCTGGAATTCCTCTGGAGAGGCCTTTGTTCTGGTCTGCAGACTGTTTCTGTGTGGGGCTGCTCCCTCAGGCCACTTCTGGCCATTTGCAAAATATTTGGAGTGGCAGCTCTAGAGAGGAAGGAGCATGCTAAGGTGGGTCCAGAGTTTGTTTTTTTTTTTTTTTGGGGGGGTTTTCGTTACAGGGCACATGCGTTCGAAAGAGAGACAGAAAGTGAGAAATCACCCCCTAGGTGGGATGACCGCACCGCAGTCCCTTCTCCTCCATTGTCCTCTGGGGATCTTGGGCATGCACAGACACGTGCCTGGTGTGAGTTTTAAGCCACCGGGTCTGGGACTCAAACCATAGTCAGCCGGGGCCGAGACTGGAATGTTGACCTGATCCCCAAATTCCTCATGGCCAATGGTGAGGGAGATGAAGGAGGTATTGTGGGGAAGGGTGATTGGGCAGACCAGAGGAGGGCCAGGCTCCAGAGAAGGGCAGCAGGCCAGCTAGAGCTTTGGGGGCTGTGCTGATGCTTCCCCCCTCCACAGGGCAGCTGGTGAAGATGCTGCTGTACACAGAAGTGACTCGTTACCTGGATTTCAAGGTGGTAGAAGGCAGCTTTGTCTACAAAGGGGGCAAGATCTACAAGGTGCCGTCCACCGAGACTGAGGCCTTGGCTTCCAGTGAGTGTGGGGCCTCTGAGCTAGAAAATAGAGGGGTGGGGGATGGCAAACTATTCTCAGGATGGGTGGCAAGGGAGCCATCTAGAGCAGGGTGGCCCCTGGGCCAAGTCACATTCTCCACATAGTACCAGAGGCCCCTTGCTCTGTGTCTCCACACTGCCCAGTGCTTTGTCTCCAGGCTGGTTGCCAGGATGGAAATCCACATACAGAGTGGGTGGGGAGGAGGACTCCTTTTGGAAAGACCTTGACTTTTGGTAAGGGCTCTACTAGACCCCAAAATATCCTCACATGTTGGAGCCAGGTGGGCCCTCAGAGCCTGCCTGGCCCAGCCCCCTCTTGGTATATATAGGTAGGGAAATGAGGCAAGAAGGGTAAAGGACTTAGCTGATCTGAGGCCCTGGGACAGGGCTTAGCTGGCGCTAGGGCACCTGCTTTCTTGGTCTGTCCTGGCAGGAAGATGAATTGGTCCCAGTGGTGTTTAGGGTCTCCTAACCCTGCCTTCCTCAGATCTCATGGGTATGTTTGAGAAACGGCGCTTCCGTAAGTTCCTGGTGTTTGTGGCAAACTTCGATGAGAATGATCCCAAGACCTTCGAGGGTGTCGACCCCCAGACTACCAGCATGCGTGATGTCTACCGGAAGTTTGACCTGGGCCAGGATGTCATAGATTTCACTGGCCACGCCCTGGCACTCTACCGCACTGACGAGTGAGGGAGGAAAAGCCGGCATGGTGGCAGCTCCCTTGCCCTGCTGCACCCAACCCCCTTCCCCTCCAATCCCTGCATCGCTCATGCTCAGCCACAGGCTCACCTGTCGCCTTTTCCATCCTTCCCCTGCATTTGATCCCCTCTTCCCCAGGCCATCCAGCGGGCTGGGGAGGTTACCCTGGTGCCTGTGTGGGGGTGAGGTGGGGGTGGTGCTGTTGGAACATCTTCTCTGACCTCTGTCCCCCCAGCTATCTGGACCAGCCTTGTCTTGAGACCATCAACCGCATCAAGTTATACAGCGAGTCCCTGGCTCGATATGGCAAGAGCCCGTATTTATACCCACTCTATGGCCTGGGTGAGCTGCCCCAGGGTTTCGCAAGGTGAGGGCATGGCTTTTCCCAGTGGACATTACTGAGTCAGACCATAGGCCAACAATGAGTGTGTAGCATTTGCTACTCTTGAATCGCGATTGTTACTCACTTTGCTTCATCCTTGAGTGAGGGTTGCAGCCCCAATGCATTGAAGTGCAAACTTGAAGAACCAGGTCTCTGTAAGTGGGTGGCTCAGCTTTTAGCAGCACTAGGACTGGGCGACAGGTGCTGGAACCTTGAGTCAAAGCTGAGCTGGAATTCCTCTGGAGAGGCCTTTGTTCTGGTCTGCAGACTGTTTCTGTGTGGGGCTGCTCCCTCAGGCCACTTCTGGCCATTTGCAAAATATTTGGAGTGGCAGCTCTAGAGAGGAAGGAGCATGCTAAGGTGGGTCCAGAGTTTGTTTTTTTTTTTTTTTTGGAGAGGTTTTCGTTACAGGGCACATGCGTTCGAAAGAGAGACAGAAAGTGAGAAATCACCCCCTAGGTGGGATGACCGCACCGCAGTCCCTTCTCCTCCATTGTCCTCTGGGGATCTTGGGCATGCACAGACACGTGCCTGGTGTGAGTTTTAAGCCACCGGGTCTGGGACTCAAACCATAGTCAACTACATGGGAGTCCAGCAACATAGCCATTACACTAACTGCTGGTCCCGGATCCAGAGTTTGTGACAGTGGCAGCTGGGATGAACCACATGGTCTCCTGATCTCTCCTGCTTGGGGTAACCTTCTCTGCACCTCAGTGGAAAGCGGCGTGCAGTGTCCTTGGGCCCTGTGTTTCCTGGGGTAACGTTCTTGTCACTCTCCTTTCATAGGTTGAGTGCCATCTACGGGGGCACATATATGCTGAACAAACCTGTGGATGACATCATCATGGAGAACGGCAAGGTGGTGGGGGTGAAGTCTGAGGGAGAGGTAAGCCTCACCCGCAGTGTAGCGCGGTGATGTTCCCTAGCCTAACTCACTGGGCTGCTTCTCTGCAGTCCTGAGGGCCTCAGAGCTTAGAATGGGAGGTCCAAGAGAAGTCTGTGTACCATGTCTGTTGGCTGGAGGTAGCTCTTAAAGGTCACCTGCTTCGTCAGTGGTGCAGAAGTTGTTCTGCTCACAGTGGCTCAGCAGGGGGTCACCAGCCTTATATGTCAGTTTGCACCTCTAGGCTGCCTTGGGCTGCCAGCAGGATAGAGGTGACAGTGCAGAGGAGCGCCCCCATCCAGCCCCATGACCCCCTGAGGCAGTGATCTGATAGGGACAAGGCCTTCTGGTGCCTTTGTAGGTGGCTCGCTGTAAGCAGCTGATCTGCGACCCCAGCTACATTCCAGACCGTGTGCGGAAGGCTGGCCAGGTTGTCCGCATCATTTGCATCCTCAGCCACCCCATCAAGAACACCAACGAGGCCAACTCCTGCCAAATCATTATCCCCCAGAACCAGGTCAACCGGAAGTCAGGTAGGCTGGCCATGGTGTGATCTCCTCCCACATCTTCTCTTCGTGGTTTCTCTGCCTCTCGCCATCAGCCTTAGCATTCCCCCCATGACTCTTCCACAGAAGAGATGGGACCTGCATTACACTCACCATCACTTTGGGCCTCAGGGATTGGGTGGCCTGGATTCTTTCCTTCAGTAGGAGTTGACAGCCTGTGTGCTGCCCACCCACTGAACAGGGCTGGTGAGGGGCAGGTGGCTGGAATTGTGCCCTGCTCCCTAAGAGCCTCTCAGAATTGACAGCTCACTTCCTGGGCAGACATCTACGTGTGCATGATCTCCTACGCGCACAACGTGGCCGCACAGGGCAAGTACATTGCCATTGCCAGCACCACGGTAGAGACCACCGAGCCTGAGAAGGAGGTGGAGCCAGCATTGGAGCTGCTGGAGCCCATCGACCAGAAGTGAGGGGCTGGGCAGGGACCAAGGCGGGGAGCCCAGGAGCTGGGGGGTGGGGACCAGGAGGGTGAGGCCTGTTATGAGGTCTGTCTCCTCCCTTTCCTCTGCCCCTCAGGTTTGTGGCTATCAGTGATTTGTATGAACCCATTGATGATGGTTCTGAGAGCCAGGTAAGCAGCTTGTCCTGACCTTGGCTCCTGGTTGTCCACCCAGGTCCCTCCCCAACTCACCTGGGGCCCTGGGCTCTGGCACTTTCCAGGTATTCTGTTCCTGCTCGTATGATGCCACTACACACTTTGAGACCACCTGCAATGACATCAAAGACATCTACAAACGCATGGTTGGCTCAGCCTTTGACTTTGAGAACATGAAGCGCAAACAGAACGACGTCTTTGGAGAAGCTGACCAGTGATTGCTGACCCTCCTGCCCCTGCTGCCCTTCCCCACCTGTCTGTTCTCCTCAAGGGCTGGGGAGACAGCATGGCTGGGTACCCCTGTTCCCAGCATCCTCTGCTTCCCCCACCACATTCCCATCACCCACCCCATTGATTCACTGACCAAGTCTTTAACCTTTGCAGTGGTTTGGGAGATGGGGGGTTGGATAGCATCCTCTTTTTTGGCCCTTCTTTATCCTAGGAAAAGAGGGTTCCTTTTCTTGTGTGTGTCTTTCCTCCCACCCCTTATCCTTCTGCTCTGTTTGGGAAGAACGTGGAGGAAAAGCTGACTTCTACCCCCACCGCTCTTATCCCACTGTAGTGGCCTTTGGAGATACCCCCTGCATCCCCCACCAGCTCTCTACCGTTGGAGAGAAGGGGTCCTCCCAGCACAAAGTTGTATTCCTTTCTCCTTCCCTCTCCCCTCTCCCCTAATTTATTCTAATTTATTAACTTGGGCCCACCCCTCTGAGCCTCTGGTGCGGCCTACGGGTTGCAGAAGGAGCTGCCCAGGCCCCTCTCACCCCTGGGTAGCCTCTGAGGGGAGAAGGTGGGCATAGCCCATTGGAGGTTGTTCTTGCTGTTCTGTTTCTTGTCTTTGTGTTCTCTGGTACTTGCTGAGAGAGAAGAGATGGGAGCAAAGCAGAAGGGGGTGGGGAGTGGATCCACACCCTTGAGCCCGCCCTATGCCTTTCCTTTTGTGGTGGGAAACCCTTATCTCGCAAAGTGAATGTGTCCCCATCCCCAACCTCTAGTGTATTTCACAGAAAACAGAACCTCCCAATAAAGTTGTGTTGAAACCTGAGCCTGGATCTTTAGGTATTTCACGCCAGAGCTGTGTGCCTGGCTGGGCCTAGCTTCCCTCCACTCTGTGAAAGGGGACATTCTTCGGGGGGGGGGTGTTTGTTACAGAGAAGAAGATGAAGTCACATTGACCCATCTAAGGCCACCCACTTGAGTGCTGGGATGAGGACTGCAGACCTCAGGGGTCACTGCAGAGGAAGTTAGGGGGACCTGAACCTGCCCCCCTCCTGTGCCTTGTGGTCAACTTCCAGGAATTGGAAGGGGTTAGGGCCCTAGCCTCTGGGTCTCCGGAGGAAGTAGGGGGAACTAGGAGCCAGCCTCTGACCAGAAAAAGCATAGGGGTTAGGACCAGCCTTGGGTGGGAGTCAAGGTGAAGCAGGGCCATGGGGTACCAGTTTCCAGGCCAATTTGGAAGGAAGCAGGGGGAAACCAAGTTCTGGATTAAGAAGAAGCTAGGGGTGGGGGGAGGGAGCTCACCCGCTGGGCCAGGAGGGGCCAGCACCACAAGTGGTCTGACCTTGGGCCCGGGCCAGCCTTGGTGTCTCCTAGAGAAGAGGACTGGGGGCTGGCAGGTGGGGTGGTGGTTAAAGGTGCTGGATCCCACAGGGCCCACTGCAGTTCGAGTCCCGGACCTGGCAGCTTGCTTTCTCGCCTTCCCTTTGTCTCTGGTCAAATTAAATAACAAATGGAAATAAATTCTTTAAAAAAAAAAAAAGAGGACTGAAGGCCCAGC